TCGGTCTGTTCTTCTTGCCCTGTTCTTGCCCACCAAGGAATGCCCCGGAAGTTTGTAAACATAATACGTTCTTTGTATTCTCAGACTTCCGGACGTGTGAGAGTGTACGGAGAGCTCTCCAAAAGCTCCCGTACACAAAGCGGTGTCCGTCAGGGATGCCCACTCTCGCCATTCCTTTTTAACTTCGTGATCGATGAAGTCCTGAAATGAACGCTAGAAGGTCTCTGAAATCCCGGTGTTCAAATAGCCTATGACGAAAACCTTTACCTTGTCAGTCTGGAAGACGCAGACGGCATCGTCTACGTCTTCGAATAGGAGGAGAAGGCGCAGGTGTTTTTAGATGAACTGGCCAAAGTCATCCTGTGCTTTGGTGTGCACTTTACACCCACAAAGTGTAAGGTCATGTTCGTGGACGAACGTGGCACTTACAATCCAGGAAGAGGTACTGGAAGTTGTGGAGCGTTTTATACATCTTAGAGGCTGTATTAGTCCTGATTGTAGTGTGACAGATGAGGTCAGTGCACGAATCCGCAAGGACCGGGTCGCTTTTGCTAATTTGAGACACCTATGGCATCAGAGAGGTGTATCCCTGAATCTCGGACGTGTGTATGAAGCTACAATACGGGCTGTTTTGTTGTATGGCAAAAATAGGAACAGCCCATGATGAATCGTTTACTGGCTGGAAAACTCCGGACTGATGGATACGAACAAGATCATTTTCCACGGTTGCGAGAGCAGCAAATAGTACGGGACGCTTCGGTCTGAAAATTGGTCTGGAATCGGGTTGGGGTTTGTGGCTTCCCTTGGTTTTAATACAGCATATAAGGCCACCTTGGAAGACATCGTCAGTTTTTATCTTGACTGTGTTGACAAAGCGTTCTGTAATGTCCGAGGAGAACGAAAATTTTAGAGCACTGCACACAGATGATGAAGGCACATTGAAAAGACGAAGTTTCTCAATCCACTCAAGTCCAAGAATGTTCAAATTAGGGCAGTCAGTGAGGTAACAAATTCCTAAGAAATGCGAATTGTTGATGGGCACCTTACAGGCCAACTAGCCAGTTAGTGGTAGGGTATTGCCAGGTGCACTTTGAGTTCCTTGATTTGTGAATGACAACAGGTTTTCCTGTCAACTCCCAACTGGAACATGAGGTCAACCCAATGTCTGAAGTTGTGTCTGGTTGCAGACGCATTGGAATGTTGTTGGTGAAAACTGTAAGGTATTTCCTTTAGGACTCGAATTCAACTTGGAATGTTGCGAACACATAGCTGGACTGCAAACGTTTCTTGTACGACTGCTTTTTGACTATGTTGCTGGTCGGACTGTTGAAGCTCTTTTGTTTTTTGGTACACCAAACTTTTATCGTGGCTCCACCGATGACATATCTGGTACTTGTGCTTCTCGAATGGACAGAAACGTGCATAATTCCATTCACCGCAGAACAAACACGATGTTGGAGGTTTTTCTCATGTTTAATGGTTTCGTTTCAATGCCATGACACGACGGATTAGTAGGTCGTGACGTCTACTGTACCATTGCGGTATCATGATTGAGATTACGCAAGCGTTGGCGATCGATGTTGAGTCATTTCACGGTGATGTCCTCGTGCTCAAGTTTGGAAATTAGTCAGGTACGAACATTTGATTCCTGCGGGGGCTGAAGATCAGCAATCAAAATTTGACACTGTAAGTGACTGCAATTGGAATTTTTCATGCTCACGGTTGACGGCACCGGCAAAAGTGACGTAATCGCCGGCATTGCATTCGGCCAACTCGGGACAATTGTATCGAACATTAAAAAGTAAATGCTGCCCACCAAAAATCTAACGGAGTTGTTCTACTATTTATGCGACGCTTAGATCCTGTGGGTGTTTGGGGAGAATTAAGTTCCTGAGCCTATCTTGCTCGATGGTTCTCAGTTTCCGAACAGAGAGACGGGATTTCCGCTCATCTTTGTCGGTAAACTCATTCTAGAAAATATCTTCCGGACGGCGGTACCGTGAATTGAACGGGAGACCAGATGCTGGTTCGTGGAGAAACTTGGCAACAGTTGCTGCGATAGAATCGGCAAAGAGCAATGAAATGCCACTGAGATGGAACTGATGTCTGAAGAGTGATAACTTGAGTGAATAAGTCGAACTGCGTTTGTTGCTGTCACCTATCAAACACCACTCGGTTGTTCTTACTACGTTCCTCGAACGTTTGGACACTCAACTCCCCTGACAATTTCCCCGAAATGTGTGCGCCTTCTCGCACTTCCCACCATGCTATCCACCTGTCACTGGGTCACACTTCATTGTTGTTTAACACTTAATGCTACGGTGACGGTGATGATCCGCTAGTAGAATGGGTGATTTTCGTGCGTCCCTGGACTGTGATCTTAGACTGAGGGGCTTTCGTGTGTGTTGCTTCTTGGTCTTCGAGTGCTTGTGACGAATATTTCTTGTCTCATAATTATCCCTGTTCAATAAGTGATAGGGCGGGCAATTTCATCTACGTGCTTCCGATGTGCAGTAGGCTTTAGTGGACTTCAAATTAGTCCTTCCCCACATAAGTGTAGCAGTAGTGCCTCATTCAGCGTATCCTAGTTTCTAACCTTCTTGTAGAACTTTGTGTAAGTTTTGTATTTCTTTTGGGTCCATCGGGTTTCAAAAGAACCACTAGGCTGCTTCGCCCAACATAGTTTCGTTCTATCTTCTTTCCAGGTAGTATAGTAAAAACGAGTTAATGGATATGACTCCCTAGTTATCATGGATATTCAGTCAGATGTTTGCGCTGATTGCACAGCTTTATCCCCCCAGTGGGCTTCAGTGAATCGCGGTGTGCTGCTATGCGACGAATGCAGTTCGATACACAGACAGCTCGGTCGACACATTAGTCAGGTTGGTTCAATTTACATAGCTAACTTTAATCCTACCACCTATGTAGATAAAACACTTGAAAAGATCTCGATGGCGCTTCAGTCAGCTGGAAATGGTCCGTTATCTGGCCGCGGCTGGTGCGAATCGTTATTGGGAACATGTGCTGTACGAACCCATGCTAGCCGGCCAACACACTGCTTCTGCACGTACCGCCTCAGACAAGCAACAACAACCACATACAAAAACGAAGAAACCCAACCCCAATGATCCTGTTCATCCGACCAAGGCGGAATTTATACGCGAAAAGTACTTGTTTCTGGGATTCTTCAAAAGGCCGCGGAATATAAGTCAAGAAGATTTGAACCATCAGTTACACGCCAGTGTTAGAACTGGCGTGTTGGAAACAAGTTTATATCTTCTGGCCCTGGTAAGTATCCCTTGTCGCAGCATGTCATTGTGTTCGCGGAATGCGATCGAACCTTTCTGTGCCATCTGTTTTCGTAGAAATCTCACCCTTTACGATACTGTGGAGCATTTGGCCATACCTTAGAGCCTCAGATATTTTGCAATTTGGGGTCGTTCGTTCGCTCTGTTATGAAGTCTGTTGTAGCCTACATATCTTCAGCGATATACTTAATACTGTCTTCAAGCTGAGCGTTTGTCTATCGATGGTCCAATGGAGGACAAATACGGTGCTTCATCTCGAATTAAGACCGCGTAGTAAAGCGACACCTGCGAAGGACGTCCCAATTCGAGGGGTATACCAACTTACCAGCTTTATGCGACAAACAAGCAATTTCATCATGTGTATCCCCATCTTAAACTGTCTTATGTTAATGTTAGCATGCTTGAAACACAGTTCCAACCACGATGGACAATCAACAAAAGATGATACGGGGCACTGAGACGTTTATTTTTTTCGCGAAATGTCATTAATTGCGGCAGCTTTTGTGCAACGTTTTTCGCAGTCCCCCATCATTTTCTATCTCATCCGATTTTTCTGATTATTTGTCGTCAGCTTTATCTATCCCTAACAAATCTGGTCTACATTGTACTGTTCATTGAAATACCAAGGTTACCTGATTTGTCGCCCTTCCCCCGTAGTCGAAAGTATTTCAACAGTAAGGGGTCGACTTTTGTCTTTTGATTGTGTATGCTAATGGCAGCACAGTCAGGACTCCAAACTAGACGTACACAATTTGCAATCATACGATCTTCAATGATCTTTCCAAATGGATGCTCATATGTATAATATGGCATCCAAAGAGAGCAAATCACAGCAAAGTGATCAGTAAAGATCTTTCTACAGTTAAAAGAGCTACATGTGGTTCAGTTTTATAGTCAATTTGGTCTGGGGGACTGATGGGCCCTGACAGAGGTAGGGCTTTCACGTGAGCCTTCCGGTTACAAAGAATTAGTTGTCGTATTCGAACTGCAGATGGTTTGGCTGTTGCGGGTGCATTTTATTGGACGGCTTTGAAGTGATGATGGTACTCAATGGATCACACTGAACTCTTTTGCCAGATTAATCCGGTGATTAGTAAAAGGTCGAGTGGGCCAGCAGTCGGGTAAGTTACGTTGTCTCACTTACCAGGATGCTTGCAATATGGCATATGCTCAGAGCTCTTTAAGGATTTCGTACGTCCCAAGTAGTCTGCGGAAGACTTGCAAACGAAAGAATAGGTCCACATACTCAGTTCATGCTTGGTTCATGCTTGCTTATCTGTCTGTTTGGTGCTCAATAGCTACTGAAGTGTGTTCTCACTTACGCTATCTTTCGAGAGAGAACATTTGGAACAAGCGAACGCTCGACCGATAAGTAGCTTACACCGCTGGTGCATTTTGTGGATGGTTTGTCCATCAAGTTTTTTCAAACACGAATAAGGCCATCTGTCGGCAGTGAAGCATCAGTACCAACACTGACGTTGCCATCTTTGATGGTGGTGATGATCTGATGGAACACACATTTCATCTGTCCGTTTAACTACATAGATATTGCAGCAGTTGTAAGCCCTGCGATGGATTTCACTCAGCAATAGACACTAAATGCGGAGATATCCGCAACGGACCTAGTTTCACTGGGTTGCGCCAACCGAACACCCATCGACAGTGGATTTCATGCACAACTGAGTCGCGTAACTAATCCGCGACCAACGGAATACGCGCATCCGATTCATCTTCGCTGCACACCAACAAGTTGCAAGTGACACCGCTAAGGACACTTGGGGATAACCTTCCGGACTTCCCTGACTGGTAGGGTGAACGGAAGTCCTTGTTCAGACCTGCCATTTGATTGCTAAAGTAGGGAGAATCTGTCAACATCTCGTAGGCGGATTTGATGTTGATGGTCTTAGGTGATGGTGATAGGTTCATACAGCTGTATACTGATCACCATGTGTATGCCACAAGTACAAAGATGACCAGGGTCTTTCCCGGCACCCTCTCAACTGTAACCAGTGAAACACCCACATCGGCCGTATGACATTTAACAATAGGTGGAAATCTTGTGTTCGATACTTTGGAACTCGTCTACGTACTCAGATCGCGTTTTGATGCGTGCCTGAGTTAAGCTCGTTTCCTTGAGTACACGTGGCAGATCAGCGACCAGTACACCATTCATCGCATGCCAGTTACAGTCGTTAAAAAATTCCACCCCTGACGGCTGTCCAAGCGACTGCAGCGCTACTTGACCTGGTAGACGGAAAAAAGACTGATTCGGAATTCGAAAATCCGCGGCGCAGTTAACGTTAAAACTCAATGCGCTGTGTATCTGATAAAAGCAAGAAAGTTAGTCAGCTGGAAATACTTCTCAGCAAGATCAATGGAAAGACGCTTAACTCGCACTCATGAATAATTACGAGAGGTGGTGGCTAAAAAAGTCCAATAAATAAAAAAAGCTGGGTGACTGAAAAAAAACTTAAGGTCTGTCCAAACATTTCTGTAACACGGGGCCAGGGAAACTGCCGAACAATAAAGTCGTCGCAAAAAAGCAGCTCCAAAAGTTCGCTATAAGTCCCGTGGTCCTTTTTGACTACCTAGACATTTCGAAGAGAGATTTAGCTGGCACTAGATGCTCGGAATAACTTCAACGCACCAGTGGCTTCGCAATGGATATGAACCTTTTGACTCCAACCAAACGAAGTAAGCAAGATCGAAGAGAAACAAGGCATCCGATCTCGACCCTCTCATTCCTGCATTGTCTGAGGATAGGGAACGGGGCTTACCTCACTTTGGCACAATCCATGCGAAGAATTCGAAGACGAGAAGTACTGGAGTAACTATAGATATGGTCTGCTGACGCCCCTATCTTTAGGAAAGGGGACAACGCCTATCATTCTAAACAAGCCTACCGGTATTCGCGAAAAGCAGATTGGTTAAAATCAAGCAGGTATCCGTCTGAATCGTGGATACCCTTAAACCATTGTTCCCTTGTGACAGGTTCCAGAAACACCACTATATATATCTTTCTCATCCAACATCAGCTGTGCGCCCATTAAACTGCGCTATTTTGTGACAAAGTCTCCCTTTTCTCAACACCACTACACTTCTTTGCGCTATGAATTGTATTCCCCCATGTTTTTCACCATAGTTGATGCTCCTCCAAACTGTCTTTTGTCACCGTGCCCATTCATTTGCACGGCAGTTATGACGAGGTGGAGCTAGGATAGTCAAAAACTGGTCAGCACTTCTGTGGTCAACGTACTGGTAGCTTCTCGGTAAAAGTCAGGGTCTAAAACACAGGAATGTATCCGATATTGCTTAACGGTTGTGAGATTAAGTACTGAATCGCCTGTTTTACCACAGCTGCCTTCGAGGCATCGCACGTGTCATAGGAGCATCGGATTAACGTTACCGAAGTGCAGCAAATAGTTCTTGGTAGCAAATCAACTGCTTGCCCAATAGATGATTTAAGTTGGTTTCATCAGCTACGTTGGCTTGTTCATGTTGTTATGCAAGCTGGTCTGTCGCTCGCCCGCGCCCTCTTCTTGGTCAGGTTTCGGCTGCAGATAGTCGAAACCATGACTGGGGAACGAAGATAGATTAGCTGATCTTGGGCTGTGGGAAGCTTACCTGATCAACTGTCTATGGCCTTACCGATGTGCCGCTTTCACGCAACCACTGCCGCTGTTTCATTTCAATATGTAACTTACTAACCTCTTGTTCTCATTGTCTTCTGCGCCCGCGATCCCGTTTTGTTCCACACCGTCTGTTTCCACATGCTCCACATTCTGAACCACCATACATACGTAAACTGTTCACGGCCGAACTTTACGGAACCGAGCTATTGCTAACAGCTTTCTTGTTGTCGATGTCGTCACTGAGTGGACACTTGAAGTTTCAGTCTTTTTTCGCTTGAGTTCAACTTGAGCATGATATTGCTGGCAGAGATGGCTTAAGTGGTTAAAGCGAATTTATTGACCTGGAGGTCCGTCGTTCGAACCGGACCTGGAGGTCCGTGGTTCGAACCGGACCTCTGCCTCTCGACTTCCCCTGTCTAGTCCTGGGCAACCTGGCAGTAGCCCAGCCCTCGTGCTTCCTTTGGGTAGCATGGCAGCCAGGCACCGGAAGGGTGTTACAGCTGAGCGTTTGATGGCAGTGGTGATGAAAACTGCTTTACACTGTTACCGGTTAGCCTGTTTAGTTTCAGAGCTTAACACTAAAGTGATATAGGGCGCAATAACCGTTTCAGTGATAGTAGATGTCATTCACTACGTGCAAATATTCGCACTCAGTTCGTTTTCGTGATTAAGGCATATCTGAAACCACTGGGTCTGAAAATAGAGTCGGTGAAGCTTAAATGTTTACCGAAAAATGACGAATTCACTGTTGAGTATTTTGAACTTATTCGTGATCAAGAAGACTTAGTCTCTTTTGAAGAGAATTCCACACGCAAGAAATCGATTTTGATCGGTGAGTGTTCTGTCTAAATTGGTTACCATCGTCCTTACCTCCCTGTGATTTAATGAATTTCGGTCCTGAAATTCACAATGTCTTTGCACCCACGCACTATGAAAATGCCGTATCTGTCCCTTTCTCGAGTCTGGCTTCTCTCTTGAGAACTAGACATGTGCAGAAATGACGTTTCGTGCAGTGTGAAATCGAACTACTTTCGTCAGTCTTTTTCATGTCACACTTCGTTCACTTGTGCTCTCTCGTGAAAAGGACCTAAAGCTGACACACAGATTGAACAAGTGAATAGTTCAGTTGTAACGCACCTTCGGTGCCTAGCTGACATACCACCGGAACGAAGCACTGGGGCTGAGATACTGCCAGTCACCCAATCCTAGAAAGGTGCGGTCGAGATTCCGGAGTGGGTTCGAATCACGGACCTTCCGGTCAGTCAGTTCGCAACCTAACAACTCAGCCGTCTCGGCACCCAACGCATAAAGTTCTTGTTTTTAACTTCCTAATTCATCAATAAATTTTGAAGCAGTACAGGGTAAGTTACGTGTGCACATTTTAATAACCAGAGCCGTTTTGCCACTGTGAAGTTTTGACTCCTGTTCTTGAAAGTGAATTACTTCTTGATTATCGAGTGCTATTTGTGTCCACCATTCACCTGATGTGCGCCTCAGTGTCGCTGCACGATGGCGTCATAGAGATCTGAGATCTTGTGTTTGGCCCAATTTAGCGTAATTACTTTACTACCAAGAGGAACTCGAGAAAAGTCACCCTGAGCGTTGGGAAGTGTAAGCAGACAGGAGGGAACCTATAGCAGTGTTTGTTATTGGTCTTTCTCTTTAACCGAAATCTTGACTCCTGTCAATTTCTATGTCCGTCTATTGGTATTCAGTTGACCTCTTCCTCCTGGCGCCTAATTAACGTTATCCAAGTTTAATGCGATCATTCCCTCGTGTGACTTCCAAAATTTTAACCAAGGCTCCCTCACTTATTTTATTCAGATGAAAGATTATTTGTTCCGATTTTTCAACCGCCTGTTTTGGAACTCACTGAAACACAAGTGTCCTATCGCCTTTGCGTCATATGTGTCCTAAATGTCGAAGCATTCAGCATCGGTTGTCTGACAGAACTACCGTTAGACTACACGTATATGGTGTGTGCCCAATGTCGCTGAAAAGTGTTACCTATGAAGGTCGGCGACTAATCTAGCACAGCGTGACTGTCCCATTTTTTGTTGGTGCTCGTTAGGTGGATAGGAATGAACACTTTAAAGTTGTGCCTGTCGCTTGAACATTGTTTTACCTTTGTGTCGCGCCGGTGATCTTTTCAGTAGTTTGCATGGGCCTAAATGCCAGATATTTTGTGTCCCGAACGTCCGCATTCTCTGATGTCGACTAAATCAGTATTTTCGCCGTTCGAATTGAATTCCTTTTCCGTGGCATACAGCTTCCTGAGCTTACTTTAGTAGTTCATAGTACTTTAAACTTTTGTTAGGGAATCCTTCACTATCATTTCGACACTTTTCGAACACATGCAGTTGCAATGAATGGGATTTTCCGCCACAGTGGCCTGTATTTTTTTGACCTCAGTATCCAAATGCTTCCGAAAAACAACTGATCTAGAAACAATAGCCTTCATGGGCGGACCTTGCGGTGAGGACAACACATTTGGAGGTGAGATTTATTTGGTGTACTCTCGTCCGCCACAAAAATAGTCAGAAAGCAAATTGAAGGTTCTACGAGATTCTTGATTAAGTCTCACATGGTGTGACCTAGTTCCTGTTCCACAACAGAGATAGCGGACTTATTCTAGTCTCGCTTTCATCAGAAGTTGAGCGAAAATTCACCACGTTTCACACGAATCTGTGCACTCCCGTTATGAATGCAGTCGTTTTAACTGCTTGCTTTTCGGCTGGCACCCAGCCTGCGAAAAAAGATCCCTATCGCACCCTCTCCATATTGCTTTTCTGTTGCTTTCCGCCACCCCAGCCATGATCAGTAGATTCCGCACGCTGCACTCGTCAGTGCTGTTCTAACTGTCGGAAAGGCAATTTGCAAAATAATCCGTTACGTTGCAGCTTTGCCGCAGTCATGCATGATTCAGTGAAGTTAACCGACAAAGTCAATGAGTGCGGATGATCACAAGACGCAATAAAAGCAACGAATGTGGTCATATGACATATCTGTCAAGTATCAGACTTGATATCCAACGACGTTGTCGAATACTTTTTGCTGAATATGACTTTTTCACTCCCACCACCTGATGTCAGCATAAAAACCTTGTGTAAACGCTAATGATGGGGCTGATTATTCCAAATTTTATTTGAGCCCCCCTGTCCGCATCAGCCTACAAAAGTAGACTTCCGAGATTTCGTTCGATCATGGGAAGTAGTGTGGGGCCTTGCTATCCAAAGAATCCTTGCTTCATTATTGTCTCGGATACCAAAATAAGGTTGGTACGTGACCTGGATGAGATTCACCGTCCAGCTAGTGTGTTGCTTTGGACCGGTTTCGACCCGCGACGCGTAAGGAATTCGGTATTGGTAATGTAGTAATGAAAACATAACAGTGTATGTCACGAACATGGATAATGGTGAAAACCTGGCGTTCTTTACAATGCCCAGATTCCAGGATCTAATCAATAAGTTGCCCGAATACGGAACGTAGCAGAAACAAATTCTGGAATGTTGGATGTGATTAAACTACTAACTGTTGAGAGCTGACTCATATCCCATACTGAGATAGAATAATAAGATTTTTCGTCTGGTAAGACTTGAACAAGTGATTTAGAACGAGTCCAACCCGTTATACTGGTTCCATCGCTAATCGGCATAATCACTGGAAGAGCGTGTACTTGATGCATCTGTATCAGTACGGTAGCTCCATAAGAGATTAGTGCTACTTATGGGGAGATGGATT